CATCGATCGATGAGAGACGGTGGCGAGCGGGAGCGGGGAGCGGTGAGCGGGCGAACGCGTTCGCTATCGTTTTTTGAGAGATGTCAACAAACACACCATTTTGCATGCTGCCGAGTCCGGCCTTCCGCTCCTCCGTGCATTTATTGGCTCAGACGTTTTTCTGAATTAGGCGATAATAATTACGATTTTGTAAAATTTTATATAACTTCTCTTCTCAGTTTAACCCAATCTACTATAATCTTTGGGGTCGTCCATATCGAATCTGACACCCGTATATATCATAAATTTTATTATCACTAATTTCAAGCATATTTTATTTTACAGCTCTGTTTCTAATCTTACGGCTCCAGTTATTGAGTCCAATAGATGTCATCTTGATGAGAGTTCAAATAACATGGAACAACATAGAAGTAGTGAAGGTATTAACATTGTTTAAGAGCTTATTTATATTATTTGCTGACCTGACCGATCTTTTAATATAATGTATAGTTGTTTTAATTTATATGCATCAAAGAAATATCAAACAATTTATTTTTAGATGAATGCCCTGCTAAACGAGGTAAAAAACCGAGCTTAACGATGATTTTAGTGCATCAATGAATCGTATAGCTGAAGCATTTTGTAACAAAGACAAGCCTGTGATAAACTTACCAAAGTTACCAGAAACAGATGCGTTGGATGGTATGTTTATGTATATAAAGCAAAGAATAATAAAACTTAGTCAAGAAAAACAGAATATGCTGTTAATGAAATTTCTACAAGATATTACGGAGGAAGTACAAAACGAATGTGGATAATTTTATATTTATTTGCGTAATATTGGGAGCTTTCCAGCAAGCGACACAAGTCGACACAAGTGTCGTTTCTGTCTTTATTATTCATTGAATGCGAAGAAAGACAGAACGACATTTGTGTCGACTTGTGTCGCTTGCTGGAAAGCTCCCATTAGCAAGTGCTATGTTCCTATTTTTTTATATTTGTCATCAACTTGATGTTAATTTTATTTTTAAGTACAACTTTAGATTTTAGTGACAAATGCAATCAACTTCGTTTATTTTATTTTTAAGTAAACTTTAGATTTTAATGAGATAAATGTTTTTCTTTTCAACTTTATTTAAAAATGTATTGACGTTAAATTACATATATATTTTATTGTCAAATATATGATACGAGTTGTAATTTTTGTAGAACATTGATTTATAATATGTGATACAAATTATAATTTTTGTAGAACATTGATTTATAATATTTTAAGTTTTTACGGAGCATTATTTTTCTTTTAAAAATACTTATGTGATGAAATAAAAAATAAAAAATAAAAATAGTTATCGTAATAATACTTTTGTGATTGTTTAATGATATAGGTGATATAAAAATATACATTAAGTAGTCATACGTTGTCATACATAAGCATCTGTATTATAATAATATGACTATTTATACACACATAGCAAATAAATTTTTTACAAAACGAATCTTTTTCTTAAAGAATTACAAATTAGCAAATTCTATTTATTCACTTGTATATTTGAATATTTTGTCAACCAACTTCTCCTTCTTCATTAAAATATCTACAGAACTCTTCTCGAATGTTAGCTGCGCGTAACGAATATGTTCTTGTTTGAGTACATCTAATGTTAATATATGCACGAAAATCTTCAACATTTTGTCTCCAGGAGCCATTTTCAATATCTCCATCTATTTGAGGCGTATCAGCAAATTGTTCTGTTACGTAAGTTTCTCGCTCAACATCATGTTTTCTCAGCCAGTTATGAAGGCAGACTATTGCTTGAATCATTTTTGTTGCATTTGATACATCTGCTATAATTGGTCGTCTCAGAAGTCGCCATTGGCTAGCTAAAATGCCAAAAACGTTCTCAATCGTTCTTCGAGCTCGAGCTAAACGATAGTTGTAAATACGTTTTTCTAATGTCATTCCACTTTTTCCAGGAAAAGGTCGCATCATTTAACGGAAATGCCTCGTCTCCTACTAATACGTATGGCAAAATTGGACCATCTTCATATAATGCTTCAGGTAATGGAAGATTAAATTCTTTTCTTTCTAATAACAGGCCCATGGCACTATTTTTGAAAAGACCTGCATCACCCTGCCTTCCAGGAGCACCAATGTCAACACAACGTATAATATAATTTGCATCACATATTGCGAGTAAGATAATGCTGTGACTGCCTTTATAATTATAATATTCTGATCCTGCATTGTCTGGACACTGAAAAAATATTGTTATTGTGTAAGTTTTAGATTTCAGTTTGAGTTACTAAATAAATATCATTTACAATTTAACAATTACTTGAATAACGATGTGTTTGCCATCAATCGCACCAATACAGTGAGGAAAGTTCCATTTATTCGCAAAGTCGTTTGCGATTTCCTTCCAGTCGTTTGTATCACATTGTGAAAGCACAATAGGATACAAACGCTCCCATATAACATAACATGTTTCGCGTATAATATTTGTAATACTGCTTTACGAAATTAAAAATTGGTACGACAATGACATCATACTGTCTCCTGAGGCAAGATATCTATTAATATTATAAGAAATATAATAACCATTCTAATATATAAAATTATTAGATTTCATTAGTTACACGTTGTTTACTGATGAAATATTGTTACTTTATGAGTATACAATAGTATACATACCTTAAAGTCACCATTAAACGTTGCTCTTCATTTATTGGCTCACGCACAACATAATGCTTTTTTAAATCGTGTCCTATTATCGACAATAGTTCTTCAAATTGTGTCGCTGTCATCCTTGTATAGTTTCTGAAACGAAGATCTTCCAACCTAATATTAGGAAGTATTGCATAATAGAATCCATGTCTCTTTCTTTCTGCGAATACTTTTGAAACCCAGCATCTCCTTTTCCTTTTCTTTTTTGATTTTATTACATTTGCAATCATTGAAATTGCTGCAACTAACTCTACTTGTTTTTGTTCGTGATAATACTGATTAACAGCGTTACTGCATTCTAATGCCCACTGATGCAACTGATAATTAAAAGACATCTTGTATTAAAATGTGTAAAATCTCGTGTAGAATCAGCTAACTTAGCGTTTCAGCATCAATAATTGAAGCCGTAAGATTTGAAAGAGCTGTAAAAAAGATATGCTTAAAATTATAGTAATAATAAAATTTATTATACAGGGTGTCTGATGCAAAAGTAGCCACCTTGAAAATAGTGGTAGATTGGGTTAAACTAAGGAGAAATATCAATTACCGCGGTACAAAATAACAATAGTTATCGAGTAATAAATTTACACGTTTGAGCGAATGAGGATGCAGGAGACGGTAGGATTCGGGATGGGGATGAGCGGGAGGTGGAGCGACGCGCGAGATACACCGTGGTGGGAAAAAACCTAGGCGCGGCGGGGAGCGCGGCGCGGGCGGCGAGCGCGGCAGCGAGCGCGAGCGACGGGCGACCCGAAACATAAACATAGTATCTC